CTTGTTAAGTTGTTACCAGTTACCACTTACAGGTATTTTTTTCATGTTTCAGTTTGCTTACAGCTAATTTTACATAGTTATATAAATGTTTCACTTTCCCTACATGGATGTTTACTTTAATCTACCAATCTCAAAAATAATCCACATTATATATACAAATAAAACGCTGATTTTTTATATGTATATGTGGATAATTTTTGAGATTACATGGTAGATTAAAGTAGACATCCATGTAGGAAAGGTAAAACATGAAAATGACTAACTTTTATTTACTGTATCTAACCCGTGCTAGTTCGGTTAGGTTAATTGCAATAAAGTTGCATTGATATGTTTCGAAAATGTTTTATTAGCATTAAATCTTTTTGAGTAAATCCCAATAGCAGAACAATAAATATTTAGAGATTTCCAATAATTTTAGCCATTGTAGCGGCTAATGCAGCGGCGCTACATTTTACTGTAGCGGTAGCGGTAGCGCCCGCTACAATCTAGTGGTGTAGCGGAAGCGGTAGCGCCCGCTACATTTAGAGCATGTAGCGGTAGCGGTAGCGGCCGCTACATTTCAAAGTAGCGCTGCCCAGCTCTGGGCGTATATGAGTATATGTCGACACGTCGTTATTTAACATTTAATCGTAATGCTGGAGCGTGTTGATAAATAATACAAGGCGATTGGGATTAACGCAGAAGTCACCGGCACAAATAAGTTCTTATATTGAGCGTTTTTTTACCATTTCCAATGAGTCACATGAAGTAACTCTCTGAATTTAAAAAACATCTTCTACGTGAACAACCGAGCTGTATGAAAATATCATATATTGAATGACACAGACCTAATTTTTATTGGAAAACAACTATTCGAAATCCGCAGCATCTGAATATATTCATGCTTTGAAATCAAAATGAGAATTGACTATAATTAGTCGTGCAGAAACTTTTGTCTAGTAAACGCATTGATTTTATTGTGCAGCATACAAATGCGAATTCAATATTTTCACAAAGATAAGCACATGATTACGAAAAATTATGGGATTTTTTATAAAAGCATTAGATAGCAGAATTTTCTTTTTGAAACGCGCACGAATAAGGACCAGTGAATGCATTATATTCCAATTTGCAGAGAATCAAAATTCTTCGGATGACGTTAATTTAATAAAATATACGCTATTTAGTATAAAAGTGCATATACCCGAATACCAGAACATCTAGAGAGTACGTAAGTAAATGTGCACTAATTCGCTAAAAAAATATTGAAGGGATGGACGTACCTGCCGTTCGAAACATTGCCCTACAATACTCGTGTTGAAAATCGTTTATGATTGAATTAACGATTCAATCAATCATTCACGCCTGAGCGTATTTCAGCTTATTTTGGGCAAAAAGTTAACAATGTTTATTTCAAAATTTTGATGAATCAATTCTCATGCTCAAATAATCCTATAAACAAATCATAAAAATATTTCATGAAGTGTAGTTAGTTAAAACTTTTTGAGAAAAGAAATAACCTTTCCTGGAAGTCTTCTTGTTGAGGCAAAAAAATTCTTGCCTTGCTACTGATTTTTTTTTCAGTAGCAAAAAAGAGTCGTGTGTGTTTTGTCTGAACTAACTTGCAGGCTGGAAAAATTCTTGCGCTTACTTAGGACACGAAGTTGACGGTAAGTTATTTGCAGAGCTGCTCCTCGACCCTATGAGAAAAATGATCGCTTGAGGGCAGAAACGGGAGCAGTAAGATCTTAATAAAGAAATATTCAGCATAGTTATCCTCAATAAGATTTTATTGAAGCAATATTCAGCATAGTTATCCATAAAATCATGCCTCAGCAATTGGTTGCGTGTAGATTGCGAACCAGAACACGATTATATGCAGGTATTTGGATTATTTTGTTCGCATTAAATGATTCATCACATATAGTAGAATATTTTATTTCATATGTTGCTTATTTTCCATCCATAGTTTACTCCGTCTAAATAAAAACAATAAACAAATATATCATACTTTTTAATTAAATATTTGAGAAATTCACTACTAATTTTCCTATGCAGCATTTTAAATATCCATTTGCTTATCAATCAGAATATGAAATAAAGTCTCTACCATTGTATCAGTTGCGACGTATCATTGATAAACTTTATTTCATATTCTGATTGATAAGCAGAAAGATATTTAAAATTCTGCACAGCAAAGTGAATTTTACAAATATTTAAGACAAAAATCATTATGTCAAATTCAAATTACAAACTAACCAATAAATTAAAAACCAAGAAAACCAAGTAAATTTGCATGAAATGTACTTTCCTGGAATTTTCTTTGCTTTAAATTGTTTATTACGAATAAAAATTGGATACGCTCGTTTTCGCAATTCATTTCGAACAATATTCTTTTATTTTGTAAATTTCAAAACTGAATTTAAATTGGCTCAGCGAAAAAATATACGTATAGAGTTGAAAATTCTTTATTTATTTACTACCGCCATGTTTCATCTTGCCTCTACAAATGATCGATTGTGTGTATACTGATGAATTCAGCTACACAAGGATTCATACAGCCGACAAAAATAGACTAAAGGACTAAACGAACAACGTGATGAGGTTTTTCTAAACGCTGATTATCGATTTTCTGTGTTATCAATACAGAAGAAAATCAGCTTTTCAGCGAATAAGTCAACTTTTTTAACGAAACTGGATTTCAAATCGTTCTAAATTCAAAGCCCTATCCATATACTGTAACTGCCTCGAGTTGAAAAAATGAATTTACGAGTATATTTGCATATGTGGTGACATCAGCGAAATTTGTAGAGAAGTTATATGTTATTTGATGCTCGATGTAAAATCTTTGAACTCTGTTTCATTACTAACACTATAACAATTGTCTTGTAGCTCATCTTAATTGTACATATGATACCCGACGTATAATTGTGACACAAGTGTCTGACAGTAAACTTATGATAGTTGTACACTAAATATCATATTCTGTGCTGAGCACCTCATATTCTGGATTCTTTACAGTGCAAACCTCACTCTGGCCTGACTCCTAATCTGAGATAGAACTCCGTTATCTTGCCTAATTCGTCCAGCAATTACGAGTGCACCTGTGCACTAATTGCGAACGCCTCGGAGTCTACCGTGCAACTTTGCGGAACACGGGAAACTTCCCTCACTTCAGTCCCTTTCTTCCCCACCTGTGGGGATCATAAATAAGAGACTTGGGTATTGTTCTTCAGCGTGAGGTTTTTGAGGTCGGTGTCATGATTCTGTGTCGATTAGAGATGTGTCGTGTCAAAAGCATGTAAATAATTTAATCGTAACGTGTCAAACTCACGAATAGCAGCCAGAGCAAAATTGTTAAGAAGTGCTAGTCTTTCGTAAGAAAAGAGTAATTATAGGAAACCTTTTGGAAATCCCATGTGTCCCTGAGGAATCTTTTGTTTCTAACAAACCGTTTACATCTCTCTTTAAGTGGAGTTAAAAAATCTGCATTGCCACGTGTATTTTGATTCAAATAAGAAAACGACAGCATCTTCTGTAGCGCCTAAGAGAGACGATGGCGACCCAAAAAAAGGCCATCAATTAAGAGTTTCGAAACCCTTTATCCAACACAAATCTGGGGTAAAATTTATTAAGAAATAAAAAGTTTTTCAATCGTCCAGTATCCTTCCAAAATTCGTTTATAATGTCTAACGCAATCAATCTAATTTAAATTGAATTACCTAACGGGTTATTTCCAAGCAATAACTTAGCCTGGATCTAACCTTGTGAAGCCCGCGTCGGCAATTAACGGCTATACGCCGTCACTGGCGCCATTACGACGCCGCTCAACACAACATATCGCCTCGTTAAAGTCTACTTAATTCAGCCATCCCACGTCGCTGGCCCAGTGCTTGGATCACGGTTGTGTTATCGGAGGCCATTCAATAAAAGCTGGTTAATGTTAACGTCAAGGAGCTTATGAATTTTGTTAGAATTATTTTAGAGTATTTCGTTTCTGCGCCGAAAGTCTTAAAAATATTATTGTTTCGCAGGCGATTACTTACTTCCAAAATTCTTTGAAGGAAAACAATGTAACGGTAGGGAAAAGATTTATCTAGGTTTATCTACTACCCTCAATCGCTCATAGGGATTCAGTACAGACAACTGAGCTTTAACTGTCATAGTTGAAACTATAGATAACAGTTGAATCCAGAGCATATAATAGCTGACTACAGTAAACTCAACTTACTGTTACTGTTTCAAGACGCCTAGAGTAGCAAATAGGTAACAAAAATACCTATTTAAAATCACCTATTTCAAAATAAAAAATACGCTAAAAACAAATAAGTAATAATAATAATAGCAAGCCTCCAATGCTTCATGGACATCTGTAGCGAACATGCAGTTCCTAATTCCTCCTAATGATAAGCAGCTAATAATAGCACTATTAACCAATAATGGGCAGTTTTAAGTCACTTTTTGCTTCCTGTTACAGATCATCAGCAATTAGGTGCTGACTGTAAATAAATATCGTAAATAATCAATAACGAATATCTATTATTAAATAACCCGAGTCATAAGCACAAACAAACGCCAATTAACAAATATAAGAAACCTTTGATGAATTACCGCAAATAAAAAAATGATCTCAACAACAGCATCGAACGAAATTATATGCATTACATTCTGATTCATAATGCAAGTAATTTTCATATCATACTAGTAATATAAACTACTTGCCAGTAATACTGGTATCATGTAAGTGATATTGAAATTACACCAGTAATACTGGTATCATAGGAATAATATTGAAATTACACCAGTAATACTGGTATCATGAGAGTAATATTGAAATTACGCCAGTAATACTGGTATGCTAGTAATATTGAAATTACGCCAGTAATACTGGTATGCGAGTAATATTGAAATTACACAAGTAAAACTAAAATCGCGACAGTAACACTGACACCATGTCAAAAATTATGTGGTTACTGGCCTACAGTGCGAATAAATTTGCAGTTATGATGCAATGTTCATTTTCAGAACAGCAGATTGCCCCTGTAATATTGGCCGTGAAGTACAGTTACTGCAGAATGTACGAGGTCAGTGAGGTGTACAGGACAGTCACTGTACACTGTGTCACAGTCGCCCGTGTCGTGGCCCCGACGCTCGGCCGCCGTGTAGCTGCCCAGCACGGCGCTTGTCGTGTTGTCCAGGTCGTGCAGTGGTCTAAAAAATACAGATTTCCTTCATTTAAACATCGAAATGAATTGCATTTCTTTATCGCAAAATCATCGTAGCTTCTATTATTGAATCACCCTAGTGAATCACCATTTCGTAACTCATGAGCGAATTCTGTATAATTTTTCATGAACTTCTCTCCTTTATCTCAAAATTCCAATCATTGGTTTTAGAATCTTAGAGAAGTTTCATCAATCTCGTATTTGTTTGCCAATTTTATTTCTTTCAGTATCATAAGGAAGGCTTGATTACAATAAGTTCTTCATTTAAAAGTTTTAAATGAAAGTTCTTTCATTTAAAAAATAGATTAAAAAATTATGCTGTTTTAGTCTTCCAAGTGACAACTTATTTTAGCCCAAATGACAACTTATATTAACTTAAGAACATTGAAGCGTTAATGGAGAAGGATTTTTCTTCGGTTCCATTCTCTAACTCATTCCCCACTTTAAATGCCGTTTATTAAAAACGTGTTTATTGACTAACTGCTTTTCAGTTTGTTTAGAAAAAAATTCGCGAGCTAGAAGCCATGCTCCAAGCCTGGGCTCCTGCACCCGCAGAATCAAGTGAAAATTTGTACAAATGGCTATGCATCTTTGCCCTGGCATGGCTCATCCAGATCCAGTCAGTTTCAGTGGCACGGGCAGAAAATGTGTCACTATTGTGACAATATGACTCATTCTTTTCTCCTAGTGTTGCAAGGGTACATACGCGAGGAGCATGGCGGTTATCTCGCCGAGCAGCCCGTAGCCCTCAGGCAGGCCCTCAGCCGCCGCCTGGCACACAGCCCTCAGCATGCAGCCCTCGCCCGGCAGCCCCACGCTGCACCAGGGCAGAGAGGGGTTGTGGGGTTAGTATGGGGTAAATAAGTGATGAAAGTTAAGCCGGGAATAAATTATTGATGAGGGTTGAGAATGGAAAAATAAGTGATGTAGGTTAAGGTGGGAGTAAATTATTGATGTTGGTTGATATGGGAATAAATTATTGATGACGGTTGATAATGGAGAAATAATTAATGTAGGTTAAGATGGGAATAAATCATTGATGTAGGTTTATATGGGAATAAATTATTGATGAGGGTTGACCATGGAAAAATAATTGATGTAGGTTAAGATAGGAATAAATCATTGATGAGGGTTATATGGGAATAATAATTGATTAGGGCTCACCATGGCAAAAATCATTGATGTAGGTTAAGATGGGAATAAATCATTGATGAGGGTTGATAGGGGAATAAATCATTGATGTTGATTGATATGTGAATGAATTATTGATGAGGGTTGATAATGGAAAAATAAGCGATGAAGGATGAGATGGGACAAATAATTGATGAAGATTGATATGGAAAGTTCATATTTAAAAGGGGCAAAATCATTATTGGGGTTAATGGTAATGATAATCACCAAAGTTAATATGACTGTAAACCGTTGATGCAAAAGAAAGGATATCGGATCGGTGAGAGGATTTGACATTCGGGCATATAAAAGGGCTTCATATTATTGTAAGTTTTTACGAGTGAAATGATTGATAAATCGTGAGGAAAATTAGGGGAAGGTTTAACAAATATCGTCGGGAGAAAAGCATGCGGGGATCACAACGAAGACTGAAGTGTGAAAGGAATATTAAATCGACCAATGAAAGAATTTTGAAGGCAAATTGCATATTTCATTTCAAAACAGCACAATCATGAGCAAATTGGAAATGACTGGGATGCAATATGAATGTTTAGCGGCAAGATTGCAATGTTATAATTTCTATTACTTAATTACGTACAAGTATTATCTTGCCCTAAAATTACCCATCTTTTGATAGGAAAAGCAATTTTCTGCTGATCGAACTGATGCACATATTAATATCGGAATATATTTTTTCCTGAATAATTTATATTGTTTCTAACGAATCCCTCATCTCTGCATGTGACGTTGTTGGGCTTTATTTAGATCAGCTATATTCAACACTACATGCTTGAGGCTAAATTACTTAACAAACTTAAGAAAATATTCAATAAATTACTTAACAAACTCCTGGGAAGTTAAATTTTGCTCATTTTAATATTCATGAACTGATTTTAGTCAAATACTTGTCAGTTTCAAAACTTCATTTATTTTCAGATACTTATTTCTCCTTCTGTGAAATCTTGCTCATTGTGATATTTTTAAAATATTTCTGGCCAAAATACACGTCAGTTTTAAAATTCTATTATTTTAGTCGTTTATATCTCATTTAGCTTCTCATTCTTTTAAAGGGAGAGCACTGCTACATTAATGCTCTCTGTACACGTCGTTAGATGCTTCGCCTTGCCCCTGACGTGCTCGTTTCCCTTAACTGCGAGTGATCCAAACCTCGTCGCAAGCCTCGTTTAAAGTTTGCATAAACGTTCGCATTACGCAGCTGATGTTATCGTTAGCTATCCAGTGACATCTTATCTCTAACGGCAGCCATTTCTCCTCTGAGATAAAAGCCTTTGAGATAAGACGCTGCTCAGCAGCTCCACGGTGAAAGATGAATGGCTGATCTGGCAGGATCGGGACTGCAAGATCGATCCGTTTACTGATCGGGAAAAAATGTCGACTTGAAGGGGACTCCCGATACCAATTCTGCGTTGACACCGCTTTGTACCTCTCAAACATTCACGGAAAATCAATTTAGAATTGAGCAGTTTTTTATAAATGCTGATTGGGTTAACTTCTTTGATATTTACGAAACATCAACAGCTTAATAGCCCAACACAATTGGGCTATAATTTACAAAACTTCTGAACGCACTCTACTCGGAGCATCTAAAACATCCGCGCTGCCCGTTGAATGTTTTATTGCCCTATCAGGCAATTTTTTTTTAATCCTTAGAGAAGTTTATTTAGAAACACGAAACTTCATCTCTAGAATCTTCCCTTGATAAGCTAGGTAGGTTCCAACGACAAATAATGTCTGCCCGAGTCACTGCCTTCTTATTTGCATTTCAAGTTCGTTATGCCTGAAATTTTTATTAAATTTAAATTAATTTTAACATTTCACTTTCACAAAAAAATTCAATTTCAGTGTAAGGAACTTGTATGCATTCAAATTTATTGTAATTCATGGCATGATAATCATTAGGAATTTTCCCTTATTTGTTAATAATTTCCATAAACTATTTCACTCTTGAATAACAAATAATACAAATAATATCTTTCTGACACTACACTGAATACAGCTTGATTACAGCAATAAATATATAGAGACTTATATACAAGAAAATTAGATCTGTTTATATAATTGCAAATTTGTTCACCATAATCAATAAACTCTGAGCATTTCTCATCAATATTATATTTGCTATCGTTCATTAGCTACAATATCCTGCGATACTATCCCTAGATCTAGCTCCTACATTCATCACAATTCTTGTTCCCAATCCTTCTCAATTCGCCTCACCCCTTTAGCAAACAGAATTTATTATTTGAAACAACTAAAATTTCGTCATCCTGCTTTGCCTTTACCTTTCGAAGGCGTTCTCTATGGCAGCGTAAGCGCGCGTACGACCTTCAGCTACGCTGCACGCGCGTCGTGCGCGCGATGTGTCCCTGTCAGCGACACGCGCATCTGACAGCGATCTGCCGAGCGTCACAAAGTTCGTAGGCAGGCTGTACGACCACGTGGCGAAGCCTTTGAATGTCGCCTCTGTAACACGAAGCGAACATGTTACTTAGCAAAAGCTTGCTCCAAATTTTTGCCCGAACGAGAATTTTTAGTAGCAATTGATAAAAATCTTTAAATTTATGCATTTTTTTTAATTTTTGCGGATAATAGTCTTTGATTTTTAATTACAACTAATGAACAAAATAAAATCCTTTCAGTGTAGGGTTCCATGCTTTTCAAATTACAGTTTCGACCGTGCTAGATCGTTCAATTATATAATCCAAAACGTGTATATACATTTTTAAGAAATGTTCCATTTATTAAGCACTCAGTTTCAAGACATGCATTGAACTGCAATTGATGTGGATAGGTCTTTGTAATTTCTACCTATTTAAGGATTCAAATTTTTATCTTTAACTGAACTCACCTCTCGTATACTGCCGTACACTTAACATGAAAACCCTTATTTGATAATAAAATTTTTCTTTCGAGCCTCAACCTGAGTTAAGAACCAAACGTTCATCACGTTCATAAGAACCTGAGTTAAGAACCAAACGTTCATCAAACATTCATCACGTTCATAAGAACCTGAGTTAAGAACCAAACGTTCATCGAGAACCATCAAACCCAAAAACATTGTAATTGAAAACAACGAAGGATTAACTCCAGTTACCTTCTAGAAATACCTACACTACAAAGCTTTTTCATTTTTTCATCTATCCGTAAAAATGTTAACGAGTAAAATAAATGAGGGACTTGATTTTAAATTCAATTATTCATTACTTACGAACAAAATTTATTAGTCAATAAGCTTAACTCACTGACGTATGAGTCATACTCGTCGAAGAGAGGAACGGTTAAATGTTAACGAGTAAAATAAATGTGAGACTTGAGTTTAAATTCAATTATTCGATACTTAGGAACAAAATTTATTAGTCAATAAGCTTAACTCACTGACGTATGAATCATACTCGTCGAAGAGAGGAACGCTTATCTGAGTCTTGACTTTGGCCGTGGAGCTCGGAGGGAAGCTCAGGTAGCGCTTGGCCCGACGGTGGGCCACTTCTGACGCGTCCTGTGAGTGTCCAGTGCCTTGGAACTTGTTGCTATTCTTATACAAGGTTGCTATTCTTATACATCTTTAGGTGCATATTTGTTACATAAGCTAATTATTAAAAAAAATGGGAAGAAATTCAAAAAAAAAATTCGTGATGAGATTTGGTTACAATTCCATATACCGAAGACTTTTTCAATAATCAATAATTGGCTATCATATAACAAGTGAAGCACCTAAAATTCAAGCAACTACCAAGCAATTAAAAAGGCCTTCTTAGAGACTAACATCAGTTACAAATAGAAGTTCTTCATAAGCACTTACGATGTTTTGTTCAGATACATAGACATCGATGGCGTGCCCCAGGTCGTTCAAGTCTCCTGGATCGCCAAAAATCTGCCGACCGCCCCCAGCCTCCGCAAGTGAGCCGAAGGCAAGCAGCGCCAACACGGCCGCAACGCGGCTAAAATACGGCCGTGTTGCGGCTAAGACGCAGCCCCGCTGCATCCAGAGAACGGATCTCACCGCCAGCATTTTTCAGTGATGCTACTGATGATGGTTGAAGAAATTTAAATAGCACTCCGATAATCGAACTCAAAATGTTCATACGCAGACAGATATTGAAATAACTATTTTAAATCTAGAAGTGATGAATTTCCAGTTTATTTGATAGAACAGATAAATTATATCTGATTAATTCTAAGGGAAAATTTATTTTTTGTGTATATTATCAAAACATTTGTGGCATTGTTTGCATAGTTCAATTTTATTAAGTAAAATATGCAATTTTCAAAAGTATGATGAAGTTCGGGTGTCATTATATTTAGAAGCGCTTCATTTTCCATTGAAACCCGAATAAAAAGAAAACCCAGCACTGCTGAAAGTACAGATTTCCTAAAATTCCACAATCCAAGGTTCGAATCAACCTTCCACTAATCAGGATAATGGTTCAACTGCTGTAATGGTAGATATATAAAGATCCACTGAAACCTTCGTTTAACAATGAACCCTATATTTATTAATTAAAAATTTATGATTACCGAAGTTTTCCTGAGCAACTGCAACGACATAATAACTCATCCTATAACCCCCAAAATCCAGACTTTTTCGTCCCCGTGTCTTGACCTCAATTGGAAAACCCGGACTGTTGCCTAAAACAAGCGGATAAGCAGCAACAACTGCAGCAGCGTTCGCAGCAAACCGAGAAAACATTCTTAATTAGAGAAAAAGCGGCGTGGTTTAGTTCTAATTTTGCAACCTGCCTTTCACGTCGGTTTCGTCTCAGAAATTAAAGTTCTCATTACTTCTTTTTGTCTTACCTTAATTGCTTTCTATCTGAATTACGGTCGCGATTGGGGAGCATTACAGAAAATTGGTCTCTAAAGTCTAGTGAATTTGTAATGACAAATTCTGATCTCATATTTTTAATTCGTTATCTTATTTTCGCGTTCATCCCGAGAAGTCTAGACTGATGTATTCATTACAGACGTTCAATTTATGTATCGTGATTTGCATCAACCAACGTTTATTGTTTTATTGAATTTAATTATAATGTTCATGGTTGCCTGCACTTATTTTAAATATTTAATTTAAATGTTCTCAGCTCAAACGCTGCACTAATAATGCTTTTAAAAAATTTATTATAATTTTAAAAGCGAAAAATAAATGACTAATCATTAACTGTTCTAATTTAATTTGAATTAATCAATTGAAGATTTTCAGTTATATATACGATGAAAGATAAAAAGAATTTTTTAACAATATTCAATTTATTATTCAGTTCTTAAAGTTAATTTGCTAAAGGGCTTCCTCTGAAAGGAATTCAAAGTTAGTCTCGGAGCTTCAAGTTAGACTTCAACTCCGTGTGCCGCATTAGACCATATTGAAGTCTGTATCTTGCTCACCGTCTCAGGGTGCTGGTCGTCTCGGCGGATTGACCTGCTCAATTTATTTAATTGTATTCATGCTATTTGGCTGAGCTTCCCTTTGAATAAGAAGCCTTTTCATGTAGGGATATTTCTGAGGTAATTCTTTCTTTGCTACCAAAGGGGCTAAATGGACTAAAAGTTCTATTAGGGCGTAATTAGCTAAAAAAAAATTCGTCAAATATATAATACTATTATAATTATGCAAGGCATGGAGTCAATCAATTTATTTTCCTTAACTCTTGTTAAGTTTAATTTTATTTTGCTAACATGATGCCTGAAAAAGACTGCCTTGTGTTAAGACTTGGTTTTCATGATGCAAAGTTGGCTAGTTTCTTTGTTACTTGATGTAGCTGCGCAATATTTTACATTTTGGATTTAGTAAACTTTTTTCTTCTGAATTATTGCTTAAATCCTTCTAGGAAATTGATATGAATACCATGCTAGAATATCTTAAACGAATCCACTTAATATTCTCCATAATGCCATACACAGAAAATACATTCATATACATAATAAATTATTACTTTACACACCATGCAATTTAACAGTGTTAGAATTTCCTCCTCTTAGTATTTATCAGAGTAAATTTGCAGAGGAAATCTAATTTAACGGCCTAAAAAAGACTTCGTTCAAGTGCCCAACTTGATTATAGAGCTCGAGTGGCCGTTCCTGTGTGAATGGAAGCGCTTGAAAACTGGCCTGCCACCTAATAAAACGACGGCAGTCTAACTCTCTAAATAAAAAATATAATTGAAATAGATTATTATCGAAAAAGCCAGGTTAAAATTATTCGCAAAAGTCACACTATTGTTATCGTTAGGCAAAAAAAATTGTGGTAGTACATAGCTGAACAGGCTACCTATTCAAAAATTACTTGGAAGAAAGAAACTCAAATTTCAAAGTTTCAATAAAATAGGCATTTAAAAAGTTCATTGATGAATTGAAAGCTTGTAAAACTTCTGTATCTAGATGAATTCACTTTTTGTTCAACGTTTCAGATGTTACGTTACAAAATTTAGAAAACTCTTCTTATATATGACACCGTATAATCCTATTCTGAAGAAAATCCACAAAGTAATGTATGAATTTAGAGCAAATATTTAAGAAAAAATTTTTAGAGCATTGATTATTATGTCAATACGCTATTTGCTCGAAATAATTGGAGAACGTTTCTGATTGTGGAAATCGAGCCTCGCTGTCCCTCGTTACTGCGCCCGGCACCTGCGAGGACGCCGAAAATTGTTTCCTTTTGTGCGAGTCGCGAACCCGAAACTCGTGCAATGGCTTTGTCGACAAACACAATGTGTGCCGTGCTATGTTCTACGTCTCTTTCATGTAGAACAACATAGAGGGAGTGCGCTTAATCTTACGTTGTTTTATAGATTTTTGGGATCCACTCAAAATAATTTATTTAACATTGCCTCTTTATTTTAAAATGCCTAAGTGGTGGTATTTTTACGACCCAAACAATTTAGAGACGGAATTGCTCAAGTAGTTAGTTCAAGTAGTTTAGAAGTTTCATCTTTAGCAGAAGTATGCAACTTTAGCAGAATTTAGTAGTTAGTAGTAAGAATGGAGTTCAGGAAATGATTAACATAAGTGTCAACGGGTGTAATGATTTGTGGCTCAAATCACATTGAAATTTGTTATTTAGGCATGAATGATTATTCA